AGATAGTCTATCGGCGAGTAACTTGCTTCTTCTGGGATACGATGAAACATAGCATTTGAAAATACATTTGGTGGCTTAAACCTGGTCGATTGGGGGAAACCAAAACAGTGAAAAGTTACAGATTGCGACTCACTGATAAGCTCTGACAGATATTTGGTTATTTCTTCTGTAGGAGGATGGACAAGTATTGATTTGCGTACCGCTTAAAATGTGGTCAATAGTGCGGCCCAAATTTCGGATATTGGTACAGTCAAATGAAATGTATACGGCACACGTGAGTTATCGGTACAACGATTTTGGGTAAAAATGCCACGCGTGCTGATTATGAGTTATGGCACCAGGCCGACCGCTGTTTCATATTCTTTTACTTTGTGTCCTCGCGCTCGCCTTGCTGGATGACTAAACCATGTTCTGCTTAGCTGTTGTCGACTTTCCAGGTAAGCGAGTATAAAGACTTACAAAGACTTAAACCAACCATAAGTTGGTTGAAAATTCAAAAACATATATCAAATACATGGAACGTCTTACATTACAAGAGATATTAATGTTGAAACTCGTAAGTGATGCCTGCATTCTTCATTACATACTCGCTTGAAAAGCGTTTCGTTGCAACACTGTGCTGGGGCCAGATTACAATTTTTTCTAATTCTATATGACACATACAACTAACTTTGAGAGTACACTCCACAAAAATAATGCCGTTATTAAACAATGTAGGTATCTCCCATTCTATTATGATATGCACGTGAACGTTTGTTAAATGACTACTTAATTTTTTGAGCGAAATGCATTTCGGCTGCCTGAATATTCCCGAATGTGGGTGTAAAATGAGGCATACCTTTCAAATGCTCCAAAGTTTTTAGTAAAGTTTCTGGCAGAAATAAACAAAAGGCACGTGACGACTCATCAATTGATGTAGTTTTGTTGTATGCACAAGATAAGAAACTCAATCGGAACTATGAGTGTTTCTTTCAGTATTTCGTTGAAAATTATGCGGTGTTTACGAAAAACGTTTGCGTTATATAAGTAACTGTCGGTTAGGGTATGAAGACATATATATACCTTAGCAATGATACCCTAATTAATCGCATCTGGCACTATCGCTCATTCGGAAATACAAAGGGGAATATATACCCACGCACTTGTGTGCAATTCAATGAGGAACATGAGGGTTTTTATATCTTCAAGCAATTATTTATATCAGCTGGCAGTAATCATGTACAAACGGTTCTTGTGCGGGTTTCAAACGATAATTTGCCGCATCTGACCGCACCGCTGTGCAACCGCCCAAATTACTTTCACCTATACTTTATAACGATTTACTGTTGGTTGTACGGGTTAAGCTTTGCGTCTACTTCACGCAAGAGTATTGTTGTTAGCTGCGGTGTACGGGTGATACATATTCATATTGTACGATTTGTCGAATCGCGCTTGGTGTCTTACGTTTAAGCACAAAATGTGGAGACCGTATCCATTTTTCTATAATCAGTCGTCAAAAAGAAGTCAACACCGTCAATTTTCTGACTTCCCAAGTATACATAAGAAAGCACCTAGATTTGTTATAAAAAATGGTACCTGACAATTTTTGTTTGATTTCTTCATCATCGGCTGCAGTTAACACAAGAATATAAAGTACTCATAGCCAGCAAGGAAAAATATTACGTAGAAAAATAGCTCTTCAAATAAAACACAATCATCTCATAGATCCATCTTCAGCAAAAGGGGAATTTGCAGATAAAGTTTCAAAGGTGTGTGGGCAGTAATGTGTTGTATACGTTGCACAAGTGGATCTTGAAATGTTAAATTTAAAGTGCTCGACTATACAGGCATTAAAGGCATATTGTTTTTACTGCTAAATCTGCTCTGCCCAATTAAACAATGGTTTGCTCAGCTAACTCTAAGGACTATGAAAACACAACATATCAAGATTTCAGCGGTGCTCGTGCCATATCCACCACAAAATTCAATTCTCATGTTTTCGATTTAATCCGCCCGCTGCAGTAGGCTGTTTGTTTTCGTCACGTAAATGTGGTATCTTGTTTGCGGTAAACATCTAATATACTACTCATATGATAAGTATCCAAAACAAGAATATCTTTGTGTGCGCTCGTTGTTTAGTGCGCATTTCAGGTGTAATTATTATTGCACCTCAAACACCTGGGTGTTGTGCATTAAAAGGTGAATACGCTCGCGGGACCGCAACCAGTATTTTGCGGACTCACATTCGTCACTGGCAATATAGGGGGCGAACGTTTGTTCGTGCACAATAAGCATGGTACCGAAAAGGTGGTGAGGTGCGATCAAAAAGCGAATCACTAAGAGACAACTGGAATGGTAGACTTCTTAACAATTCGAAAATATACAGGTCGGTTCTACTGATAACACCATAGTTTTGAGTGACCTATAATTTTTCGTTATCAGAATCCATCTAATAATGGAACACAAAAACAAATGAGCATAAAAATCCTCATGATATAAATTACAGAGGGCGCATACTTTGCAACTTTTTTTCAGCTTCGTCTAAAGACTCTGAGAGGAATGGATAAATGTTAGTTTATTGCAACCTTAGAACACGATGTGGAAAACAATAAATGATGGATCAATGACCAGTGTTAAACCTGGAATTAATCTCCTCAATGTATACGAGAGTTACAGACAATTAATTAATTTAAATATTTATATAGCTGAAAAATGCGGAAATGGAAGCGCAAAGAATTATGTCATTTATTGACTTTCATAAGCCCTATTGACCTGAAAAAATCTCCACCCCGGTCAATTATTCTTTCTCAGAAGCAAGTCTATGTCATGACACAAGGAGAGCATAACGTCTGACCCGATCGCGTTCAATGCTGTAGGTCTTATGTTACCCAAACCATTTTGTGACATGATAAATATCGCAGTATTTGTTGTGGGGATAAATTGATCGTTCATAAAGCCAGAATATCAAAACGACATGCCTATAAACGGGAGAAGTCAAGCAATCCATATTAAGATTACAGGTTAATTAAAATTGCTGTAATTTGCTGCTCATTTATTTAGTGACTGGCTGGCAGATTGTGATTATGACGGCTAATTTTGCAATTACAATAACTTGGTTGCTAATTACGGATGTGACTCTGCGACATTGCGTATATTCAGCATCCCGATATAAAAGAAGTGCATGAAATATTCTGGGGCCGCATGCAACCGTACACACCGAAAGTTGCATTTTAGCCTAACTGGTAGACAAGTTACGTCATATGGTTACAAGTTACGTCAGGTGGTTTATTCGTGGGATAAATATCTAATTTATATAGCACCTACCTGTCAGTTTTTTCAAAAACTGTTCAACCTTTCCTAAATTCAATAGGTAAATATTAATTTATGATATGCACCAAAAACGTAAAAATCTCAACGAGAATCGGAAGTTCGTTAAACCGAAAACGTCAAAATATTAAACTTATTTTGCAGCTATGTTGGCTATGTTTTGACATGCAGTATCTATACATAATTAGAAGTTAAATGACACTAAGGCTTCTGCCGAAATATCACATAATTTTCCACAGCAATAAGTTTGTGAAGTCTTCCGTTCAGATTTTCGCAAAGTACCGAATCTTAGGGCACATGTGTATGATGTAAACCTTTGAAAATGATAGGAGTACACTAGTTGACGCTCAAATCTCTAAACAAATTAATTGATTTCAAGGAAACTTGAACACCCACCAGTTCCACCGTTTGAGATGTTGCATCCTCTCTATCTCTGTTATTGCCATGAGAAATCCAGGATGGTGGCAGATGTTCGCTAGAAGTGATGGGTGTCAAGCGTTTCATCCTGATGCGCTATAGGTTATGTAACGCTCCAATCTAGAGGTGATAGCACATGTATAAAAATACTTGTCAACAAGTCGGAAGTAGACTGAAAGCCGCCTTGCATCAGCCCAAAGTTCCCCGCAGCAGGACGTTTGTTTTCAAGGGCGATGTTATGTGCACAAACATTTGCCAAACGTTTAGGACAATCCACTGCCCACCACTCCACTTGCACGAGCCTGTACCGTTCAATGCCATATAGGGACATGCAACAGTTTAGTAATGAATATTGCAATATTTTGCCGTCTAAATGAAATGTAGACCAGAGCCTTTGTCACTGTAAAAAAGGATAAACCGCATAATACCAGTAGCGTTATGTAGCATCCCAACCTCTCCGGTGTTTACAAGACTAGTGTACAACTGGGTACGTGATCCTCTACAGCCGTGCAACCATTTAGTGTTATTATGCCGTGTGTCGCTCGCTAAATTTATAAGAAGGCCCTCGCCTACTCCAACGGCAAAACGAATATGTATTGCCCCAGTCCAGATCATATCGGGGTCAGTTCTCAACTCGTCTCTTAAGACCTGGAGAGATAAGGAAGCAATATTTTTCCAGAACGCGATTGCTAGCATGTCCTCCAGCCAGGTCATGGTGGAATGCCGTAGCATTTGAACGAAAAAAGGAGTTCACGAAGGTGGAAATTTTCAAGATCATGAGAGGAATACTACGTAACCCACCTTAAAACAACACGAAAACAATACATCCGGAAAGTACCGCTCCTGTCAAACCTTGTCGCAGCACTTGTTTTTCAATTTCGTAACAGACACACCGTTATTGCAAAATTAAATCTGGCTAGTAGGTCATCAGTAGCGAGCAGATTGTTCATAATTTTAAAATTTCTTAACCACTCTGTGTGCTAATACACTTGTTCGAATATTCTCATTATCCTTGCTTTTTGACTGATATTCTATTGATCGCGTGCTGGTTGCTGGAGAACCTACACAACAATCCTGGCGTCATCTTGGGCTCTCAGTTGGACACTATATATTTTGCACATCATAGCTTGGTTCTGGGCAGATTAGGCGCGGATGTTGTAGAGGTAGTGTGGGAGTAATTTGTTCTTTTATCTAATGTGAAATAAGAACCCTTAGGATTCCTACATCAACACAGTTAGGAATAGCTTCACCGTGTGTTGTGTGCAGATGATTTCTCGTTATGCTTGAGAACTAGAAAAGTGCATAAATAATAGCTACTACAATATCTGCACTGATACCACCGA